TCATGTAACTAAATCTTTGCATTACCAGAGGAGCTACTGCTACTCTCGTCTTCCATAGTCTTAGACTCAGATAGGACGTTAAACCAATCAATCAAATTATCAATCAATTTACAGCCACTAAGCAACTCAGCCACCAACAGGCACGTTGGTCCAAATACCTGTCCCGATTCAACTTTAGGATAACGTACCGACCTGGCAAGGATGGAGAAAAGCCCGATGCCCTGACTAGACAATCCTAGGACGTTACAGCTCAGGATCAAGCCCAACAGGCCCGCAATCAGACACTGCTCCGACCCAGACTGTTTACGGAACTGAACCTGACCAAAACTAGCCGTACGATATCGGAGATCATTCAAGAAGAATATGAAAACGATGAGTTCATTCAAGATATCCTGAAACTACTCCGAGACGGCAGCCAATGGTCAAAGTTGATCACCCTGAGCGACTGTGAAGACCAAAATGGTAGACTGTATTACCGAGACCGACTTGTTATCCCAGACACAGATGAAATGAAGATTAAGCTACTCCGATACGTACACGATTCCCCTGTGGGTGGACATCCCGGCAGAGGAAAGACACTCGAGATCCTACAGCGTGAATACTACTGGCCACGCATGTTTGATACAGTACGACGATTTGTTTCCTGCTGCCACACGTGCCGCAAAGCAAAGGCTTTGCGTGAGAAATACCACGGGTTATTAAAACCGTTACCGATACCGGAACGAAGTTGGAGAGATCTATCCGTTGACTTTGTGGTTGACCTACCCGAGTCGGAAGGGTGTACAAACGCTATGGTTGTTGTAGACCGCCTGACTAAGTACCAATACCTGATCCCCTGCGCCTCCATAACTGCCCCAGCCGTAGCTCGGTTGTTCTACCAACACGTCTGGGTACACCATGGCCTGCCCGACACAATAGTATCCGATAGAGGTACCCAGTTTGTCTCCGCCTTCTGGGACGAACTGTGCAAACAGCTGAAGATCGAAGCCCAATTGTCCTCTGCATACCATCCGCAGACCAACGGACAAACCGAAAACGCTAACGCTGCAATGGAACAAGTCCTCCGCTCGTACACAAACTATCAGCAAGATGACTGTAAGAACCGTACCAACCGTTTCTTCCTCATACTACTCACACGATTGCTATCCGACTCCTAACCGATCCCTACCCTACTACCTACCGGTATCCCCCGAGCTACATCGAGCTGTTAGATATATAAGCAGGGCAGTGTACATAGTTATGGTAGATAGTTTTTGAGTATCCTTTCGTACAAGACCTATAGGAATAGAGGTTTACTCCTAGTTCTATCTATCCCAGTGCTCCCATACACCTTGTAGCGGATTCGAACCCATATCGGAGTCCTCTCTTACCTGTGTTGTTACAATGACTGGGTTAATTGGTTACCAGTTGCCCAATTCGAAGCCAACAACACAACTTCTGAATCAATGCGAGTCTCCCCATTTCTCACTAACTATGGACAACATCCCCGGATGGGTTTCGAACCCCCTTCGGAGACAACAAGGCCGCCTTATCACGCCATACAGGTAGCCGATGCAAACCGAATGATAGACAAGATCCGCAACCTGATGGAGTACCTCCGAGAAGAACTACTTTGGGCGCAAGCTACGCAACAAGAGTATGCGAATCGGACCCGTTCCAGAGCCCCAGCGTATGCCGTAGGCGATTGAGTCTGGCTCGATGCCCGAAATATCCGGACTAACCAACAGTCAAAGAAGTTGGACTGGAAGAACCTCGGACCCTATAAGGTAGCGCAGATGGTCTCGTCCCATGCCTACTGACTGGAACTGCCTGATAGCATGAAAATACACCCAGTATTCCATGTGTCTCTGCTCCGACCTGCCACCCCCAATACAGAGTACCTACCTGGCCAGCAGAACCCACCACCTGATCCCGTTATTGTTGACGGAGAGCCCGAATACGTTGTTGAGAGCGTTGAGAAGATCCGCTACAACAAAAAACGACGCCAATATGAATACCTGACCCGTTGGACCGGCTATGACGAACTATTGTGGGAACCGGCTGAAGCCCTGCATGACAATACAGCAGCTGGACAATTCCACGCCCGATACCCATCCGAACCAAACCCGTACTCTGATGACCCCAATGTGACAGTTTAGAAGGGGGGTACTGTCACGGTATCCTCTCCAGATCCCCTGACAATATCCAGATCCGCTCCGTACTGTCCCTGACCGTACGCACCAAATCCCCAGCGTCCTTACGCGCCTCCGAAGCGGACGTACAACCTCCGGTCACCTCTGGAGCGGGCCTGCAACCCCTGAAGCAGGAGTATTAGAATTCTGCAAGCCCTGCTCTGGGACTTGCAACCCCAATACCTATCCAACTCAGTTCCGATTATTAACTGGTAACCAAACAAACCCACATGTAAGTATATAGACTATTGCTGGTAGAGTTCTGTTCAGTACACAACGTCTTGTACCTACTTAGATACCGTACGTAGTAATTGATTTAGACTCCTAGCGAGTCCTAAAGGGCCTACTCGTAGCATCTTTGTGACAGTAATCCTGTTACAGTGCTGTAGTGAAGTAGGCTGTCACATGTCAGAGCAATAGCGCTAGCCCTTTGTGACGCTATGTAATGGGCTAGGCCCAGTATTAGCGCCTTGGCAACAGCACAGGCCTTGGTACTTCCAAACTGGGCATACAACCCCCAGTCACTTCCGGAGCAGGCCTGCATACTGTTACAATCAAGGAGCAACTTGCACAATAACACTGAACAAACAGGACTACACAATGATACAAGAGGAGCCAAGGAACTGTATTATCAATTGACCTGAGCAGTGACGCTGCATCAGCAATACTCAGTATGATCATCACTCTCAGTTGAGCAACTTGAGCGACTTGAGCAGTTAGGACACGTGTGAGAGGAGGCCAGCTGGGGATACCAACTGCTCTCTGAGATGGATGAATAGGGGGAAGGAAGGTTCAGGCTTGTTAGAGGTAAGGGTGTGGAAAGGTGTAACAATGCAGAGCCCCATTGTGCCAAATGGCCAAAAAGTACATCAATATCAGCATAACTGCTGATATTGGGCTCTGCATCTAATATATAGGCATAGTGCAAGTGTGAGAGGGGGCCAGCTGGGGATACCAACTGCTCTCTGAGATGGAAGGATTGGTGGAAGGATGGTTCAGGCTTGTTGGAGATAAGGGTGTAGGGGAGACCAAGTGTGGGGATACCACAAGTGGTAAAAAGGATAAGTGATAAAGAAGGGATCAAGTGTGGGAATACCACAAAGGATCAGTGAGGAGTGAGTTGAGGAAGGAGTTGTTGAGGTGAATTGAAGGAGTGGATTGAGTTTTGAATTGCAAGCATGAGTTATCTGAGCAGGAGGGCAGGCTGCCTTTATAGACAGACTGCTGGCTTCTGGAATGTTCTAGATACATTGGCATTTGTAATCATTTGTAATCATTTGTCAGCATTTGTCAGCAACTGGAAGATTCTGTGTTGTTCCATGGGATTCCATGATGTTCCATGAGGTTCCATGAGGTTCCATGATGTTCCATGAGGTGTGACTGGGTGGATTGTTATTGGCTGCAAGCCATGTCAGGATGACAGCAAGGCACCTCCTTACAAAAGGTCCAAGCGTGGGAATACCACAAGTGATAGAAGGGATAAATAATAAAGAAGGGATCAAGGAGGAGTGAGTTGAGGAGTGAGTTGAGGAGTGAAGTTGAAGTATTGAATTGAGGGAGTGGATTGAATTTGAATTGCAAGCATGAGTGAGAGCTATCTAGAGGTGGGAAGAAGGGGGTTCATGGCAAGCTGACAAATGCAAACTGACAAATGGAAGATGACAAATGGGAGCTGACAAATGGGAGCTGACAAATGGGTGCTTGTTACAAATGAACACTACAAGGACAGGGCACCAGAACCTGTTGAGATGGACACAGCATTCCATGTGATGCAGGGGATGCGGAAGTGTTACACGGTAAGGGTTACGACTTAGGCTTGGGTAGGACATGGCTGGGTCACATGGCTAAGGGTTAGTGGATTAGTGGGCCACCACAACCACTAACCCACTAACCCACTAACCTTCCAGAATTGCTTGATATATATACACCCTGTGCAGCATGGTTAGCATCTCTGTAGTCAAGAATACAATCTTCCAACAGTACTGCTCTTGTACATTCACATCACTACTGACGAAGTTCTTGTCTATGACCTACTCAACTTTGTAATATCTTCCTACCATCCAACATACCTGTTACGATTTGTGCCTTAAGCAAAGCTCATAGGCACTATTTGATTGGTTCTTGGGGATGAGCATAGGTACAGAAAGCCATAGGGGTTGACAGTCACCTAAGCAATGCTTGGGTGGTCAGGGGTAGACTATCTGGGCAGGTTGTAATAACCTTTGTAATAGTCAGGTAGTTGTCTAGTCAAAGACTGTGGCAACTGGTTGCAATGAGTAGTACAGAGTATACTGTCTGGCTCAAGAGCAAGTGAGATTCCAATAACAAAGTTGATTGACAAGGTTGAACACCTTATAGTACATTTCTACGGAGCATGCAAGGTAGCCCTCGGCTTTTACGTCTAGCCTTATTTGGAATGATTCATGCATATACAAAACAGCGATTGGTAGCATCTTTAATTTGTATAATGCGGCTCACGTGATATGCAAATGATAGATATGCCATAGGATAGAAGTATCTGCTAGGGCGTATGAGTACGCCAGAGCTAGTGGCTGAAATATCAATGTAACAGGCACTTCCTCTCTTAGAAGGTGCACTGTTGCCACGAGCTTTGTATACTCCGTAACTTAGTTCTTTTAGTTCGTTTCGTTTAAGTAAAGTGAAGAAGAAGAGTTAAAAGAAAATTAGGCTAGAGAAAGATTGTAAAGAAGAAGCTCAACGAATTAATATTACGTGATTGACTAAGAACCCCTCCAAGACTTTCCTGCCTTCCTAAGCTCTACATTGTTACAGTACTCTCTCTAGCACCCCACATACATCTCGTCAAGGCGGAATGACTGGGCACCCTTTGAAACAAAGTAGCACTGTAGCAACCCGGTGGTTCCTGTAGCCACAAAAGTGTTTCCACTCTCTGTGGGACCTGAAATCCAGGAGTTAACGCGCCCGTCGCTTGTCGTGCTCTTCGAGGATAATCCTGTGCCGGATGCAGAGCAGGAGATTGAGCTAGCTGGAGAGGCCGTGACGAGGTATTTGTACGAGAAAGTGTACTTAACACCTTTGGTCAGACCGCTGAGCTGTTGGGACAGGATAGTGCCGGTGCCTGCGTTACTAGCTGTTACACTGTAGGAGGCGCCGCCACTGGAGCCACCCCCAACCACTCCCCAAGCCGCCGGTGCGTTGTTAGCGCCGTAGATAGTCTGTGACCAAGCTGACATGCCACTTTCGAAGCCACCGTTTTGAATGATGTTGTCGCCGCTAGCAGTGCAGGTAGGTGCTGGTGCAACTGTCGAAGTAACGATAGTAGTGCGGACAGGGAGAGTTGTGGTTGTTGCTACAGTGCCGGAACTAACGGTCGCGACGGCCGTAGTAGAAGTCGTAGAGGTTTCTGTAACGGGCGTAGCTTGGAGGCTGCAGGCCGCAGAGACAGCACTGGCAGCAAAGGTGGTAAGAGCGGCAGGCGTGGCTGGATTGGCAACATCGCGCTTTTGAGGAGCCTGAGTGACTGTCGTCGTGGTCGTAGTTACTGGCGAGATGGTGTTCACAACAGTAGTAGCGGGCACAGTGGTAAACTCGGTGGCGATAACAGTCGAAACCGGAGTAGTGTATCCAAGAAGGGTAGAGCAGAACGGCTGTAGAGATGAGGCAACGATGGCAGACTTTGCGGCGGCGACATCGCAGGGGAGCTTAGGCTTTCCAGGATCAGTGGTGTTGGAGTAGGAATAACTGGACGCGATCGTGTAGTGGTCCTCTCCACGCCACTGACCATCATTGACAGCGACGTTCTTCTCCCATTTCTGGGTATACATCGAACAGTACTGGCCTTGTGGCTCCCCATTTTTCATGAGGACGTAAGTGTTGAAGAATTTGCACAACATGCGGCTGTTGAGATGCTCGACGTTCCACTTGGTCTCAGCCTCGCATGCAGCAGCGCAACGGGCGGGTTCAAATGGCTGACCATCGTTGAATAGTTTATAGCCCATGTACTAAACAGGAGTCAGCGGTTGTATGAGGATAAGGTATTCAGTGCGTACAGTATCGTCACCGTTGCAGTCGCTTGGGGCATTGATTGCGACGTTACCAAGAGACTCGCCGCTGTAGCCAGAAACAGGAGCCACCCGCTCGCTGACATAGCCTAAATATCGTTAGAAAACTTGCGTTTTGCCCATATTCTACATTCGGAGGCATACCGTTTGATCCAGCAATGACCACGTGGAAGTCATTGCGCCACTGTCCGGTATTGACAGCTGTTTCGGCGGTGATAGGGCTACCCCACATCACACACTTGATGACTGAAGTACTAGCGGGATTGGCGCAGGAATCGGCAGGAACTACGGAGGGGTCCCTCTCAAAGACTGTAGACGATGTTAGTAAAAGCTAATGCTTTAAGGAGTAACACTTGCAGATATTGAATGAGGAACATCCTTGCTTCGCAGTGCAAGAGTCTGCGCAGGCTTGAGTATCGTAGGTGTCCAAGGTATTGTATCCAAGATACGCTACGGCATTGTTGCTGCCTTTCAGGTTCTTGAACTTGTTGACGTAGCCAGCCGGCACGGGGGCATCGTTGGCAGCGTTCGAAAACTCTTCCATGGCCAGGAAAGCTTCTGGAGTATCAGGGCTTGGAACTGGCCCTGCTCCCAGAGGCTGTGCTGAACAGTCCCAACCTCTCCGCTTCAGTGCCTTGTCGGCAGACGCAGGATCCGCAAGGACTGAGGCGAACGTGTCGGCAACCACAGCATCAGGAGCATACGGGATAGCCTTAGTACCAGCACCCTCACCAAGCGGGGTCTCCGTAATTGGCGCGGCGGGGATCTCAGCGACTTTATCGAGGGGAATTGATTGAGGCAGGGCAGCTGCGCAGCCTGTCACGGCCAAAGCCGCGAAAGCGTGAACCAGATGCATGATGAACGGCGAGGAATGGTACAAGGTTGAGGAGAAGATGGCAGCGAATGATGCTGATGAGTACCTCTGTACCTGGGCACAAACGACCTTTATAGTCATTCATGTAGGAGGTAAATAAGACACTCGAGCGGAGGTGCCGATACACTAGATGCATAACGTTGGCCTCGAAGTGCTATGGCGAGCTGAGTTCGACGAGCCTCACCACCACTCGAATACCAAGAATACACTACCTCCACCTCATGCCAAGATTGGACCGTTTTGCAACCGAACCCTTCAGAATTCCTCACAAGACTAAAACTGACGGTGTAAAAGCCTTGGGCACCATCGAAAGTGCAGATTGAACAAGGGAGAGAACTCGCGTGATGGTACGAGTCAGTACATAACGGTTCCAATCACTAAGTAAACCAACAATAGCTGGATATGGTCAAAGGGCAGTGTTAGCCGATGAAAAAGAAACCCCCAATTTGGTAAGAAGAGGACTTGGGCTTGCAAGGACTAGAGGAAACGGGGAGTTTAGCAATGTCATAGAAGATGAGGTATTGCTCGATCAACAGACGAATGTTTGGGAACTCGGACGTGGACGACGTTGCCCGCGACATCGTACCACGTGCGCTGTCAGGACTCTGCCGAACCCTTCCTCAGTTCCTATTAGTTATTTGGCCCTATGCAGCGCACGGAGGTGGAACATTATTTTCCCCTGTGAAAGTGTACATTGCTAAGCGAAGATCGCATAACTGGGGCCATCTTTATTGATGGCTTGCTGGCGCCTCACAGACGGCTCGTGCCTGAACTAAAAGATCCGAGCCAACAGCCTAGGCAGACCTAGATGTTCCTGCAGCAGATGCACTGACTAGCAAAGCACAACATCTAGGCCGCCAACGGTACACGCCCTCCCGCAAACAGATGATCACGAGGAAAGCATATTTTCGCCACCAAGACCTTGGGACGGCAGCAGGCCAGGCACGTGGCTGTGGAAAGCGATCAAGACGAAGACGGATATAAGGCTGATGATGCTTGGAGACGGGCAGTACGATCTCAATGGATGCTAAACAAAGATTACGTCAACATTACATACCTTGTAACCGTACCCTGTGTTTGGATGGGTCGGGTGACATGCCTTCTTTCATTCGTTAACGAAAGATGGTACTGAGCTGTGAGTGCTGTTCAGATTGTTGTCTTAGTCGGCATGAGTTTGGTTTGCTTTTAGTTGCATCGCTTGGGAAGAAAGCAGGGGAGCCATGGCTTATTGAGGTGTTGACATTTCCAAAAGTCAAGTGTATGCAGGGGTTAGGAGAACCACGTATCACCAAGGACCCCTGCGGAAAGCATGCGGGAACCCTGCATACAACCGAGGGCTGTGATGACCTAGCCGCCTTAGTCTGTTCTGTCACTTGTGAGGAGCATGACAAGAGCCTAGCGCCTCCAGCTTGATGGCTGGGAGTAAGCTAGCGCGAGCTTGATGCAAAGCTTCGTGCCTCGGTCTGCAGGAATGGTGGCTGTTGCAACCGAGACAGCGTTGGACAATACTCCTGGGTCATTCGTTGATTTCATCCACACTGAACAAAGAAAGGACGCCTTCTCCGTGGATGTATGGGAACAGCTTGCTAAAAAGGTGCTTCTAGCGTGCGATCAGGATACACTCCCTAGGCAAAAACTCCTACACTACCAAGGGAGAGTTTACGTGCCAATGTGCACTCTGCTGTGCAAGGGAATGTTACGATCAAAGGGCAACCCGCAACAACACTGAACAAACAGGACTATGCAACAATACAAGAGGAGCTGAGGAACTGTAGTATCAATCAATCCAAGCAGTAGGCCACATTGGCAATACTCAGTATGATCATCACTCTCAGTGGAGCAACTCAAGCAACCCGAGCAGTGGGCCGTGTTGGCAACACTTGGCACAAGCAGTATACTTGGTACGAGCAGTATACTTGGCATGGTCAGTATACTCAACATGAGCAGTATACTTGGTACAATCAGTATACTCGGTACGATTGGTATACTCAGTACGAGCAGTATACTTGGCACGGTCAGTATACTCAACACAAGCAATCTGAGCAATCTGAGCAATCCTCTGCTCATGTATATAGCAAGTAGACACGCTGCCCTTATGGCATCATTGTAAGGGTATCTGTGACAGCAAGCTTAGTAACAATGGGGGGTGGTCTCATAAGATTAATTGCTACCGTTTTCTGGCCATTGTGTGCTCGATTGTCACGAAGATGCTACGAGTAGGCCCTTTAGGACTCGCTAGGAGTCTAAATCAATTACTACGTACGGTATCTAAGTAGGTACAAGACGTTGTGTACTGAACAGAACTCTACCAGCAATAGTCTATATACTTACGTGTGGGTTTGTTTGGTTACCGGTTAATAATCGGAACTGAGTTGGATAGGTATTAGGGTTGCAAGTCCCAGAGCGGGGCTTGCAAAATTCTAATACTCCTGCTTCAGAGGTTGCAGGTCCGCTCTGGAGGTGACTGGAGGTTGTACGTCCGCTTCGGAGGCGTGTAAGGACGCTGGGGATTTGGTGCGTACGGTCAGGGACAGTACGGAGCGGATCCGGATATTGTCAGGGGATCTGGAGAGGATACCGTGACAACTCTGTACTACTCATTGCACCCAGCCATCACGGTCTTTGACTAAACATCTACCCCTGATCACTCCGAGCTTTGCTTAAGTGATCAACCCCTTGTTCCTTCATGCTACACTTGTCCCTGAGAACCAACCAGACTAGTGCCTACTGTCAGGCCTGGCTGGTGATATAGTACTGTTCCTGCTAGAGCTCACCATTAGAGTGAGCCATGATACCTTTTGGCTTGCTTGGCTCAATGGGCTGGACCTGAGTCTTGACAGCCCCCTCTCACAAGAGGGTGCGGAGAGCAAGCAGTAGGGAATGTACAACTGCAGGAAGGTGAGCACCAGCAGAATATCAAAGTCAACAATATGTGTGAGAGGGGGCCAGCTGGGGATACCAACTGCTCTCTGAGATGGAAGGATTGGTGGAAGGATGGTTCAGGCTTGTTGGAGATAAGGGTGTAGA